CTCTATATATTATTAAAGACGAGACGTTATACTATATATTGCCTTAGTAAAATATTCAATATTTATTGCTTTATTAAATTTTAAAAACTGTGATCAGAACTTTTGGTATACCCTAAGTATACTCTTTTCTATCATCTGACAATTTATTAAAAGTCGTGGATGAAGTGCTTTGTCTCTTTAATTATATTATAATACGTTTTTTTCTCTTGATATTTCTCGTTCTTCTACCAATTTTACTCTCATTCATATTTAAAGCCGTACAAAAGTGCAGGATTGGCTTTCTGTAAATAAAATGTTCAATGATGTACTGAATGACATTTTTAAATTAATAAAATGATTTATGATGATAATATTTGAAAAAAAAGAAGCGAAATCGGATTCTTACCACTAAAGAGACGTAGAATGGTATCATAATTAATTTGGTAAAGACCCAATCCATATAAATTAGGATAGTCGGAAGCAAGAAGAACACGTTCCATAGATAATGATTCGAGATTGAGCCATTTGATATTATGATGAATTTGAGGCAATATTTGAGAACAAAACCGATCAATCATAATATCAACCAATGGATGGAAAAGTCCATTTGATGACGATCTCATTAACGTTAAATGACTAGTAAAGATTGGATCACGTAGAATGTTATCGAGTTGTGTGTTAATACCCATTAAAGAATTGAGCATTTCGACATTATTCAATTCCTCAAAAATAATCAGAAGTATTTCGTTAGATAAATCCATCAATTGAACGACTGAATGTTTCATATCCATATTCATTTGTCAATTCGTCTTAGTGCAATTATAACAATAACTTTATATATAATATATTGACCTGTCCTATTGCTTGTCGTCGTCAGCAAAAATAGTGGAACATTTTTAGAAATCAAATAGACTGAACAAATTAACGCTGAATTAAGAAATGTGATTGGTGTTGCCACTTGGAAACATCAATCACATTCCTTAATTCAGCTTCAATTTTTTTCAGTCTATTTGACCTCTCATTGTCTAAATCAGCGATTCAATGAATGAATGATGCTGCTTCTCTCTTATTGGCTAAAAATATAGAGTATGAAAAAAAATATAATGTAGAAAGATAGTAATAAGGGTGCGATACATTCTTCACATTATGAGAGAGGTTGAAAAGTCGACTTTTTTTGCGCCAGACGGATTGAGCTGAAATTTTAGGATATGAATTATGACTAATAATTACACATCTTGTGAAAGTTTCATCTTCGTACATATCATGGTTTCAGAGATATCTAGTTTTGTAGTTAGGTGTAAGTGATTACCGTTCATTTCCATCGAACATAGCGCTCCTCGACTAAAACAATTTTTTTCGGAAAAGAAAATAATGTCTAGTATAATTGGTAATTATTTATAACTTTTTTGAGCATATTTATCGACTTTATTTGTTTTATAAATGAATTTTGGAATCCATGCTCCTCTTTCGTCGCTTGGTTACGAATAAAAAAATCGCGTTAGATGGCAACTCTAAAGCATCTATCGCTGAACTATAGATATTAAACATGCCGCTGTTATATTTCCTTTTCTTTTGATCTTCTATATTTTATTGTTGTTCTAATATATTTCTCCTGTATGTAGATATGAATAAATTTAGTCAATAATCTACCAGTTTAACGAAGTAAAATAAAATATATTGG